GCAACTCCCTAATGATGATGACCTACTTTTTTTTTCTCTTAGCTTCGGCGGGTAAATAAAAGAGACCTTTTATTGATAAAGCCTGTACGGGTTTCCCTTTCAAAAGCGCACTTTTCAACCCCTCGACTCATTTTTTCGCTTGCTGACTCGTCTATGAAGAACACGAGATGATCTTCATTGTTACACGTATAGAATCGGAATTTTGCAAAATCTCGCCAACTCTGCCGCATTATTCAGAGACATTGGGACATTTGCGTGCGCGCGCGCGCTGCATTTAGAGGAGGTAACCCTTGTTTTCCAACCATCATCACCCTACTTTATCCCCGGTTTTTTTCTCGGCAGCCTTATTTTCTAAGACGTCCTAAATCCGCATAACGCCCCTTTCTTCGGATTTCACTCGCATGTCCATTCAAACGTTCTAAATCCGCATGATGACTTCCTTGAAGTTTTAATCTTTTGCATCCGTTACACGAGTATTCATTCTCTTTCTATACGACCTATTTCGCATGCTGAATACTGAACGTCAAGAACGATCCTCCGAACGGTCGCGAGAACATGCGACGTGGTCGATCCTTAAAAATCTCAATTTTGCAATTTAGATCGTAGATCTGCGCGCTCTTATCGTTCGAACTTATTAACCGAACTCCCATTTAGATCGCGTCTAGATCGCTTCTCCGCAATTAAGTCTTCGCTGTCGCGATCACTAAGTACGAAGTGGGCAAAATGTGCGAGGACGCACTTGTGGAAAAATCGTGGAAACGGCGGAAGAGTGACGAAATAAGCGCCGATACCGATGCTGAGAGTAAATAACGCGTCTTCGCGTCTTTCGACAGAAGCATCTTCCTTTATCTCCATAGCGTATCACGTTATCTTCAGCGGCGAAACGCGGGGTTGCAGAGCAAGATGCAAATCGCGCGGTCGTTCGGCGCCAGAAGAATCTCGTGCTCCCACAATGACCATGCCCGCAATTCTGTAAGCCAGACGTGTTTTGTTTTTGCTACTCAATATATTATTGATAAAATGCTCACGTTGCGTAATGACGGAATTAATAACACCCAACGATTCTAATCTGCATCGTATGTTGTAATCTATACGATAAGTAGAGGGGAGTAAACATTTTTCCGCGTAGCTTGCTCGTAAATTATAATAATCTGGTACAATTACAGACAAGTTAATTATGTTGCTTTATAATTTTGTACAATTCACGCGCGCATAAATAGAAATCTCGTTCGTAACATTATCATATCGCACGCATCAAAATAAATGCTACCGACGAATTATAGCAGATGGAATGTGAGGAATGTGTTGTTGCGCAAACTATCATCACGTTTGTGATACCTAGCAATCTACGACGATTAAATGTTAATAGAGCACCTGAGCACTCACCACCATCTACCGAGACTCGCAATTTCTGATACACATTACGTGCCTGATCGTGAAAAACACATCTCCGCGATGTCCTTATAATTGTCTCCTCATATTTCACCAAGCAAAATACAAATTTATATAGGTGAATTCATGAAATTACATTTCCAGATGACACACAATATTCCAGATCGCATTTTTGTTTATCCAAGGTTTCTCTGACAAATTTACAGACGGTGTATACTTAATGACATATCGTAGAATATAGCTGTATAAATTATGGCTGGATAAAATCGTCAGTCGCATGTCTACGTACTTGTTGATAAATTGATATCGTCACGAAATCGCCGACGATCGAGCTGTCGTGCGGCGCGCGTATGTCTTCTTCTCACGACTGTTTTCCTGTCTGCTGCCGCTCTATTTTCTCATCAAAAAGTCTTCCTTCTTTGACGCATGATAAGAATCTCTCTCCTCGCAGACGCAGAATGTTGCAAAGAGTGGTGCCACTGGTCTATAGGCCATGTGCCCCATTTCTGGGCAGTGAAAAATGTACTTAAAATGGGCACAAAATTAAAGGCCTTGATTGAGCTGAATACAAAGATATAAGTTTTAGAGCCGTCCAGTGTACCGTTCTAATACTATGATCCAAGACGGTCAAAAATTTTAGGCTACTTTCAAACTGATGTTTCTTTAAAACAACGGATTTTAAAAATTCAAAATGTTACATTTAATAAAATTAAGTGAAGAATTTAATGGTATACATTCCATGTTCCAAACTGACCGAAAACAGAAAATTCTAATTGGAACATCAACTTCCGGTTGATTTTGGAATATGAAGTGCATAGAAAAATGCATTCCTCCATTTATTTACATCTGTTTATGTTATTTCATTTAATTTTATTATTAGGACCTTAACTTAGTTTCCGCCCAAAAAATACTGAGAAAAAGCATTTATTGTAAAAAATTTATTTAAATTATTTCAATGAAAGTATTTTCCATCACTTTCTACAACTTTTTGCCATCTTTCTGGCAACTGGGCGATACCATCTCGATAAAACGATGTTTGTTTCGAAGCAATCCATTCGTCCACCCATTCTCGCACTTCTTCAACATTTCGGAAGCGTGTACCACTCAA